AAGGTCGCCGTAAGTGAGCTCATCGTGACTCTTCTGGAGAAGCGACGTGTCAGCTGCCACATCAGGACGAGTTGTCCCTGCAAGCCACTGCAATGAACCGATTGCCGATCGAAACTCTGACATGGCTTCTTTGTCGTTGGACATCTTGTCGGCAGGGTCATGTTTGTCTTTGGTCAAAATGACCTCCGAGGCATAGTGTGACTGTGACAGGGTGATGCAACCGTCAGTGTCTTTGTGCCGAGTGATCCTCCTACCGATGAAAACAAAATCATCGCACTCCCACTCGCTTCCCCAAGTGAAAGCTTTCTTCACATCGTCGAGGACCGAGGAGTCTGAGCTAATGGTGCAAGTGATGATGTCATCTACATGGATTCCCAACAGTGAAGTCACTGGACCATCAGGAGTGTCTCGTCGCAAAAACAAACAGGGGTCCAAAGAGCGTTGTTCCCAAGACAGCTTGCTCAGTGTGGTCAGCACATGAACGAACCACTGCCGAGGAGCGTTTGCTTGACCATATACTGGAGCTGACAACTCATACAAGACCTCAGTGTCCTGGTTCCACTCCTCAATGGCCTGTCGCGAAATGTCGTCGCGAGGCGCCTTCATGAAGATACTGCATGGCCTCTCTGTGTCAGGGCTGCCTTGCAGAAAGGCTGACTTGCAGTCGCCGTTGTACAGTGGGGCATGATGTGAAGCTGACCACTGCAACAAACAGAAAAGACCTGCTCGAGAAAGGACAGGGGCGTCACGCGACAACAAAGGTAGGTGAGGGTCACGAAAACCTTGCACCACAATTCTTGCTTTGGCCTTGTACCATGAACCTCCATCCATGGGCTTCCATTTGAAGCAAACACGACTGGGCAAAATTCTGTCTCGGCTAATCTTCTTGCGGTCACCCTTGAACAACTTGCAGGAGCTCCATTTGCACCATTCCAACCATTCCTTCTGCATGGCTTCGATGAACTGGGGAATGTCGGCCTTGGCAATGGATCGCCAAGGAAGTTCTCTCTTCAAAGCTTGTCGTTGTGTTCTGCGAAGGCCTGAGTCCTCCTCATCACTGGTGTCAGGCAGTGTCTGATGGTTTTGGTTGGTGATCAGCGCCTGGTACACATTCTCACTGGGCTGAATCTTGCCTTCTGCAACTGCATCTTCCCATTCCTGGAATTGACATGCCACGGAGAAGCTTTGACTGCCTTGGCATAGGGTTTGAAACTCCTTAGCAGCTCCATCCCAGCCGGCACGGAAAGCATCCGAGCGACCATGACGTAGAAGCCAAATCTCATGAGTCTTGAAGGGGCCGTAGAGTGCTCGATGTTGCCTCATAGCTCGTGGACTCAACCGGCGCCTGCCAAGTTGTGAGGCGTGGTAGATGACTACCTTCTTCTTGGGCTTCTCTATCTGGTCGTTGCTGTCGATGGTGTCGTTGAACAAGGTGTGCCAACTCCACCGTTGCTCAGATGTGCTCCAGATGGAGATGCTTTTAGATGTAGATCCAGTGCAGCTTGGAAGCTCAGGTTGGTCGTCTCGTAGACGAAGGATCTCGTCGTTGTGCCAAATTCCCGTGGACCAAATCTCTTGTAGTTCTCCTTGATCAGGAAGATGTAAATCCTCTTGATCTGCCAAAGTCGAAGGTCTCCAATCCTTGACCCGAGGGTCAAAGAAATAGTGCTCACCTAGGTTTCCATAGACCTGGTCAATCTTGTCGGTGAAGATCTCGTTCAGGCATTGACGGCATCGAATACTGCCGGCATGAATCTCTTTCTCGATGCTGCCGCAGTTCCGACAAAAGGTGCGTGCATTGACCACCAACATCTCGTGGGTGATCTCGTCCAAATTCGTTGTAGTCTCAGCTGGTGATGCGGCAGGAGCTGCTGGTTCATCACGAACGGCTGCTGCCACAGGTTCCTCTTCCCAGCTCTCTTCAGGGACTGGCGCCATGACAGCTGAAACTTGTGTGCGAGCTGAGATCTGGCGAGCCAGAGCTTCAGCCTCAGGAAAAGGTGACATACTCAGAGACGTCCTGCGAGACAAAGATGGTGTTGGGGGAAACGAAGAGGAAGAAGAAGACAAGGTTTTGAGCCTCTTGGCCTCGGACTCATTGCCATCGGTGCTTCTTCTCTGAGCTCGCTCCATGAAACTTGTATCCATGTCTTCAGGTGTTGTCTCACTTGCAGGCATGAGCGGAGTGTTGGGCTCCAAAGGATTCCCTGTGGCATCCAGAGAGGTAACACCAGTGTCTTGCAGTGATGGCTCCTCTGGCGGTGCAATGGCCATACTTGGAGGAAGAGCCAGTAGTGGTGCTGTCGGTGGTGTCTCTGCCGATTCATCTTGGTTCAACAAAGGCAACGGAGCTTCAGCAGCAGCAGGCGCGTCAGGTAGTAGAGCTCGTGGTGCATCTCGAAGGTCATGTTGTCCTGCTCCATGCTGAGTCGAAAGGTCTGCTTCCGCATTTCGCAGCAAAGCAAAATCTTCGTTGCCTGGTATCCAAGCTTCTTCGCCGTGGAGGTGCCTCAGTTGTTCTCTTGCAACTTGAACAATGCGTCCACGATCGTTTCGAACCCAAATTGATCCTGTGGGCCCAGGATCGGCTGCCAGGATGATGCCTTGTCTGTAGCCTGGCATGCCGCCCTCCATGTCGACGGGATTTCTCAGCCTCCAGTAGGCCACTTTCTCACCTGGCGTGAAGGGGCCGCGCCAGGGTCGAGACTTTCTCAACATTGCTCGCTTGAGGTTCTCGCTGCTCTCCATGTTCAGGAACTGGCGCATGGCCTCATAGCGAACTGCTTCAACTTGTTGGAATTTCTGGCTCAAGGACATCTCCATGCTCTCGGGGTTCTCAGACTCGGAGATGACTGAGCTCGGAAGACGTGGGTTCAAACCGAACACCCATTGAGCCGGACTGGCTCCTCCCCGTCTGATCAGGCAGTTCTTGGCTTCAGTGGCCATGTTTGCAGCAAGGGTCACATGCTCAGGTCCAAAGAAACCAAACTGATGGATCAGCTTCAACAGGATATTTCGTGCTATGGCACCATGACGTTCACCTCGACCTAGCTGATAGTGAGCGTCAGGCGCAATGTATCTGACGGTGGTGCCGTGGTAGGACATGTGTTCTTCCAACAGGTTGCTTCGAATGCCGCCTTCCGCGTCAGCAAGGAGGTGTTGTGGGGCTCCAAAAAAACGAAACCAACCGGATTCCAGTGCTGACAAAATCGTGCTTGCCTCCCTGTTCTCCAGAAAGGACATCACATGAAACGTTGTGGCGTCGTCGACCTGGCTAAGAAAAACAAAAGCTGTTCCCATGATGTCATGGACATAGATGAGATCGACAATCAAACGCTGGTTGAAGGTCTTAGCTGTACCAGGCAGCTTGGTTGGTCTTGCTTCACGATTGCTCTGCATGCGTTCACACACTTTGCATTTCAGGGCTCGAGCGGCAATCAGAGCTTGAGGGGTAGCTTGCGCTTGTGCCAACTGTCGAACTAGAGTGCCTGTGGCTGGATGTCCAAGGTTGGTATGAAGACGTCGAATGACGTTTTGCATCCAGAGTGGCACCTGATCAACAGTGATCCCAGGGAAGGTCATGTCCTTGGCGCCAGCCTGCCAATGTTCCAGAGTTTCTGCAGCTTCAACTGCAGGAGGCTGATCTTTTTGAAAGCGAACCATTTTCCTCTGAGCAGTGGTCTCGATGATCATGGGCTTGCCGTAGAGGAAGATTGCCACTCTCACGGTCCGATCGAATCTCGACTGTGGGTTCTTGATCTTGCTGAGATCTTGTGACTCAACCTCGATGGACCCGTCTTGGAACAGAAGAACTGCACCTCTATGTGTAATGTTTGGAGTTTCCAGGATCTTCCGAGTAGGCATACGTCGAGTCTTGGGCAGCCTGTAGATCTGGACATACTCGAGGTGCCATGGTGTGAGGTTCTTGATCTGCTCCTTGTAGGCTGAACTGCGAATTTCTGCACTCTGAGCCACTTTGCCTTCTAGCCGTTGAGCGGCTTCAAGTAGCATAGGTCTCCAGAGGTCGACGTCCTTGTTGAGGTCGGGGTATGGTTCAGTTTCATCTGCATCAAAGGTTTCCTCTGCAGGCCAGGAAGTATAGGCGTGAATGAAACGCTCATCTCCCAAAGAGTGCAGAAGTTCGGTGAAGTTCCGGATGATAGATCGAGCCAATGCCTTGGTGTAGACGGCTGCTTTTTGTGCGTTGCCACCGAGACAGGGTTCGTGTTGATGATTTCCTGGACATTTTCGACAGCAAGCTTGAAGCAAATGAGGGTCATTGGACAACCAACCAGTGGCTTTCTTGATCAGCTCATGGTTTCTTCCGCGAAGACCATAAGCACACATGTGGCCGTGGTCGTAGTACAAGCCATAGCGCTCGATGAGATCCACAATGGCTGGTTGCTCCCAAAGTTTGCCACCGTGCGGGTTCTCCAAAAGGAAATAGCGAGGTGGTTCTGATTCCATGATGTCGGAGATACATTTGGCCACCTCCTGCACGGTGATCATTGCTTGCGACCTGAGTTGCTCCAGCTCTTGGGGTCTCCACCAGTAGTTGAGGTTCGTGAGATTGCTCCATAGTCGGCACTCCGGCTCGAAGATGGTCAAAATTGGCTTCCAATGATCCAGCGTCTCACGCAACCACTTATAGTCCTGCTTGGAGTTGAGCTTGATGTCATACATTTGGTCGATGGGCTGCATAGCTCGAAGACCGGCTTGTAGAGCGCATTCGGTGATCGCTGCTCGGCCTCCAAATACTTCAATCAGATCGACCTTGTACTTCCTCATCTTCAAAGCGGAGGAAAGACGTTCATGATATATGGCGTGCTCGACTGCCCAAAGTCTCTGAAGAGCCTTCACAGTGCCGAGCATGCGTTTCTGACGACCCGGCTTCATGAAGCTGAACTGCTTGTCCTCATAGGTCAGGGGTACATCAGCTGAACCTTGCAAAAGGTTCATCCGTCGAATTGGATGGACATGTTCTCGTCCTGTTCGTCGGCATCCTCGTGGTTCTGCTCGATCTGTTCCTGCCAGTCGTACTGCCAGTCGCTCTGCTGGTGATCCCATGCGTTCGGATTCTCCTCTTCGACGGGGTTCACCGGGTCCCAGCTCTGTGCTGAAACTGAAGCCGTCTCCAAATTGGGAGGAGGAGTCATCATTGAACTCTTGGCCAGGTAGAGCGCCTTTTGAAGCTCTTTCTGCATCTCGCGTTGCATATCCTCCTGCATCTGCTTGCTCATCTGCTTCATGACTTGGGAGGCGATGACCTGTTGTTGAGTCCACTCCTGGGATGGAGTCATGCCAGTTTGGATCCCAGTCTGCCACGGTGTTGAGGAAGAGGCCTGAAACGAAGGCGAAGAGCGTTCCCAACCAGACCAAGGTGGACTGTAGATGTCCGAATCGACTGCGTAAGGAGTTGGCCCGGTTCGAGGATCGGAGCCTTTTGCCTTGGCCTTGCCCTTGGCGAGCGGTTTGCTCAATCCAAGTGGTGTCTTGGCTGTTGGTGAGGCCTTGGGAACGATGCTCTGAAGACTTCCCTTCTCCTTGTCCCACACGGCTCGATGGCCACACAGGTCGCAAATCCTCACACTGTGCCCGCCTGCTCCATAAGCTCGTAGGCCCAAAGGATGAGGACAGGTCTCTGGCTTGTTCGGGTACTGGTTCTGTCCCAACTGGCCTTGGACTGTCTGTGCAGCTGTTGTCGACATCATTGTGGTCGCCGTCCCAGGAAGCAGGAAATGGCGAAGAACTTGATCCCTCAGGTTGGGATGCATGCTGGTCGCTGCATAGGTCATGGCTGCCTTGAACACGTTGTGGATGAACCGGAGGAAGTTCACCAGCAGCGTACGCCATCGCCTCAACCACTTGGGCGGAGTCTTGCCGCTGCTCTGCATGGCCTGGTGGTCGAACAGCAGGATGACGTGCCGGTGGAAGCTTTTGAGCCTTCACTGGCATGGCTGAGGAGGTCCATACATCGGGAAGGTTCTTGGGGTTCACATTCATGTCGCATGGCCATTCTGGTAAATCTTGTGGCCATTCATCAACTCGTACGGCCAAATGACCGCAACTGCTCATGTAAAGCTGTGAGGCCCTATAGTGAATCTTGCCGGAGTTGATGTCGGCAATGGCATTCAGCTGGGTGAGTGTCTCTCGTGACATGAGTGCTGGGGCATCATCTTCAACGCATGAGAAAAACATGACCACGAAACAACCACCGACTCCACATGGGTATGCATATCGTGTAGATGAATGCGAAGCTGCGTGTGGGCCAAACCTGAAACTTGCTTTCTCTTGAAATGCAATACGAGGCAACTCAACGTGTCGAGCATGATGTTGGTGCCATCTTTTCCCCGCCACCTGTCGCTGGCATCCCGTGTCTACAATGACAAGACACGGCTCATTGGTGTACACCATGGCCAGAGATGCCACCTCAGAAGGTCCTCTGGCGATAGCTTCGGCTTCAAGCGCATGCTCGATCGTGCCACCGTGGTCCTCAGTCTCGCCGCGACCGCCAGCGCAGTTGCCGTCGGGGTCCACAGTCTCATAGTGGCGACCACCGTCGTCTGACATGTGCTCGACCTGGTTGGAAAAAGTCACCATCCAGGTCGCCTCCATGCGAGGATCCACACTTTTGGATCGATGTTTCTCTCTCTTCTCGCGCTCCATCCGGCGGGTGATGGGGCCGGGAACCACGGCAGTGTCGTCGTGAGCGTATCCACGGCTAGCTACGGTCCGGGGAGCCTCATGGGCTAAGTATTCGGCCCCAAAGCACCTTGGCCTCGGGGAATGAGATGTGTCCATGATCCTACTCGGAGTCCTTGCGTCTCCGCCGCCCCTACTTGGAGTCCTTGCGGCTCCTCCGCCGTTCTTGAGGTCCTGGGGTCCTCTCCCCGATATTGTTTCGACTCAACCTTGTTCCTACTCCTAGTTCTTGAGGTCTTTGGGTCCTCTCCCCGATATTGTCTGCCTGCATCACCTAGAGGTTGAGCCGTCTCCAAAACCCTAGAAACAGTGGCTTTTGAGGTCCTTGGGTCCTCTCCCCGATATTGTTGCATCTCGGTCAAACTAAGCTGCGGAGGTGCCTCAGAAGAAACAGCGCTCAGCTCCAGCCGGCGCAGTTCAGCGCGGCAGTCTTCCGCCATCTCGGACCACAGGGCCCGATCATCAAGCTCCTCCCACCAGTCGTCAGGATTGAGGTCACCAAGATCGGATGGAGGCTGCAAGGATCCACATGGCGAGGTGTCCCTTGCCATCACGTTCATGCTCTCTGAACCAGTCGCCAGAGAGTGAAAACTTGAAGTCATAGCCTCTGAGGTCGGTGCCGCGAAACCTGAGTCAACAGGGGAAACAGCGAAACCCACCTGAAGAAGTCCGCGATGTGGTGCCTCAGTCTGGGTCCCAACATCTCGATGGCCATTCGTTGACCAGCTGGTCATCCACACCGTCGGAGGGTCCTCCTGCACGGCACCATTGCCGTCCAGGGTCATGGGTGCAGAACAAAGATGGGCCTGATGTGTAGTGACATGAGGACACTCTTTGAGCCAGTGGTCAGAAGCGCCGCATCCAAGGCACAAACTAGACTGTAACCTCTGCTTGTGCAAAGCTGAGTTCTTGCCTTTGCCCTTGGAAAAACTCTTGCCGGACTTGCCTTTGCCACCTTTTGGACTCGGGGTGAATGAAGGCTTCTTGCCCTCGCCCTTGTCTTTGCCCTTTCCACCGCTGCTGGATGAGCCCTTGCCCTTTCCTTTTGCAGTGGTATAGTAGCCACGAGCCTGCATGGTCGGAGCTAGCTTCTTTGAGGTGGCAGTGAACACCTGGTTCTCATCGATCTCATTGGGCGCTTCGCCAACTGGTTCAGCACCATCATCAGGGGCCTCCCAGTCGGCTTCACCATCTTCCTCATCATACTGGTAATCGAAGGGGTCGTCCTCCGGGTTGATGTCGTTCTCAACCGTATCATTCTCGTTGATGAGGTTGGTGAAGTCGCCGTCGATGAACTGGTCCTCAAAGGCGCCTTCGCCATGTCTTCCATCTCAAGGTGCCGCCTGATCTGCCCTTGCCTTTTCCGGCATGTGAGTGACCACCGCCTCGTCCTCGATGTCGTCCAGAGTTGGTGTGGAGCGGAGCGGGGTGACGAGTCATGCCGGTCAGGGTCAGGCCAGCCGGGTAATGTACCCGGATAGCGTCAACCAAGGCACCAAACTCATACCGATTGCCGGCAGCTAAGAGAAGTTGGGCAGTAGCAGTCTCTGACAACCGAAGTCCGTCGAGGAGCTTGACGGCACGAGTTTCCGAAGGGTATTGAGGAATGCGAGCGTCTTGCAACTTGCGTTCCATGAGCCTGAACCTGCGAACATAGGCTTGCACGCTCTCTCCTTGGACTCGAACCATTCCCTCGAATTCACGAATGAGTCCTCCCTTTCGGAACAGCTCCTTCTCGCCGAAGCTCACAGCCAAGTCTTCGAGGAGGGTGGTGATACCATCTGCATGATTGTATCTGGAGTCGTCAATCTCTTCCAGTTCCAAAGCTGCATCACCTTGCAAAGCATCTAATGCCCTCAAAGCTTGCTCGTTGGCCGGCAAGAAGTCTCGGGTTATGGTAACCCAACGCTGAAGGGCCCGTTTGTAATGTCTCAAACAAAACGGGTTGGTCTCAACGTCCCCGCTGAAGGTCGGGGGACTTGGAATGTGGCCACTTCGCCACTTCTTCTCCTTCTCACTGGATCCATGTCCGGATCCCCTGGAGCCTCTTCGCCTTCTCGAAGCTCGTGAGGACGGCTGCGAGTCCGCGCCATCCAAGTCACCAGCACGGCTGGTGGGTCCAACAGGGCCGCGAAGGCCTGGGAGGTCGTCGCCGAAGTCGAAGACGTCCTCATCATCATCCTCAAAGGGGTCTGCGCCCTCGAAGTGGTAGTCCTCGAGGTCGGCATCCTCCATCTCTTCCGCGCCGTGCTCGAGCTCGTCGTAGAGGTCGTCGAACATGTCAGCGGAAAAGCGCAGCTGCCGAGGGTGACAGCGCTACCAATGCGAAATCGGAGCTTGGGACCGATCAATGCCCTGGATCTTCCCCCAGCAGGCACTTTTGCCGTCCCGCCATGAACGAAGTGAGATCTCGAAAACCCGCCCTCTTGAACCGACCAAACAATGTCAATCACGTGTCTTGGACTCTTCACGAGTCGTGATTTTCACAGGCGGTTCACCACTTTGTTGAGGGCAGACTGCAAGTCATCCAACACATGTTGTGGGTCCAGAATGTCGGCACGGACATGATGAGGGGCTGCTCGGATCAATTGTGTCTTGTAAGCAAGCCAGTAGGTCTTGATCTTTTGTGCAGCCATGTCCGCTTCTGTGTCTTCTTCACGAAGGACAACGTGAGCAGGGCCAAGCCAACGAATCTTGTTCAGTGCACCTTGTCGTGCATCACGCCAGAACCATACGCGTTCTCCCAGCTGGAAGACGCGATTCTGCCCTGGGTACTTGCGACTGAGTGCACGTCGCGGCTTCAGCCGATGCCAGGGCCATCTTGGCGGCGGTTCGCCGCTCGAGATTCTCCTCGAAGGAGTGGTTGTTTCCAGCCAGTTGTGCTGCGTTGAGGTTGGAGTCCAAGAGGTGGGACATCTCAGGCCGGAAGCCAAGAACCCATGGACTGGGTGTGAAGCCAGCAACGGAGGGTGTTGCATTCTGTTGAGGAATCACGTAGCAAAGAGCTTCTTTGATGCCGGCTGCATCGTTGAGCTTGCGATCATCCATGTAGACCTCACAGGCGCGGCGAAGAACCGCGTGGCGGCGCTCAACCAGGGACAGGCGTTCATGAGTTTCTCCAGGAACCACTTGATGATCTATGCCGAGAGCACTTGTCCATGACTCCATAGGACCGCCAAGCCAAGGTCGACCTTCGTCAGTGATCAACTTCTTTGGAGGTCCGAAATGTCGGATCCACATCTTCTCAAGGGCAGTGATATAGGACTTGGAGGTCTCTTCATAGAGAGCGAAGGCGGCCATGAACTTGGTGCCAACATCCACAATGTTCATCACTGCGAACTTGCGGTCAGCAGGCTTGAGATAGAACACATCAGCCTGAATCACTTCGTTGAAGGCCTTGGGCTGTGGCATGGAAGAAGGTGCCACTTGATTGGGTTTCTTGTGCTTGAGGCAGGCTACACACTTGCACTCCTTGGCGGCAGCAATCACAGTAGGATGAGCGCCTCTGGCGGTCAACAAGTCTGCCAGAGCATCTGGTGCAGGATGGCCAAGGTTGCGGTGGAGCCGTTCCACTGTTCGTAGGGCATCTTGGCGATGCTCAGACTTGAGTTTGAGAAGGCCGGTCTGGTCTCATCGACCACATAGGCCGTGTCCCACAATTGGGCCGGCTCAGGACGTGCCAGCACTGCCAGGTTGATAATCCTCCAGGTAGGTGGTGCGTCGACCATAGCCAGGAGCAGAGCCTTCTAAAGGGCAGTGGTGGTGGGTCATGATTGCACTTCAACTGGAAGACCTCAAGGACTGCTTGTTTGGTGGCTATGGCCCCTTTGGCCGTTACTTGAACCACCTGAGCTCCATGAACTACTCTATCAACACCAGTTCCACTTTGGCGGAGATGCTTCCTCGAGAGCCTCATGGACAGTGGACCTGCCTGTGATGATTGATGGCCCTTTGGTTCCTGGCAATACGCCAATGTTGATGGGTCGCCCGGTGATTGAGGCCTTGCACATGGGCATTGACTTCAGTCAAAAGAGGATTCGCTTTGGCTCATCACCCTGGCATTTTGTCCTTGGCCCAACCAAGGCCCTGTTCAGCCTCCACATAGCTGAAGTGACACCTGGCAGCCATCTTCATTTCGAGGACTTCAACAAGTTCGAACAGGTTTACCAGGCCGAGGAACAGATACCTGCACATGGCTTGCAGTCCACTCGTTTGCATCGACATGCCCTTCGCACCATGGAGACGCAGTTGGTCACAACCTCCAATTCGACTGAAACCTACATCACGCAAGAGCTACATGATCCTCCAGATCATCGACGAGTTCTTTGAGAGATCTACTGTGGCAAAGTCCGCATTTGGACACATCACCAAAGAGCTTGGTATGAAGGTTGAACGATTTTCCCTGGACAATGGTTGGGGCTTCAACCTTTGGTCCAAGATGCAAATTTTGGCCTGTCGCACTCCTGCACGGCAGGAAGCACTCAAGGCTCGTCGTGAGCACCATCATCGCCGGCATCTATGTTTTGCACGGCGGATATATCTACGACAGGTGAACAATGGCCGACATGCACATTTGGAACAACCTCAACACGCCTTGAGCTGGCACACCACCGCCCTTCGAGATCTACCAGGCAATGCCGCTATGGAGCGATGTGCCTCGACATTGATGGCACCTGGCGTCCAGTGCAAAAGAGCACACGATTGCTGACCCGCTAAGGAAAGCCGACGCTCCAGGGTCCAGCATGGTGGCTGTCTCTCAAGCATGCACATTTGATTACTGAAAACACTCGTGCTACATGCTGTTGAAGACGAATCTCAGTATCAGTATTATGGCCTTTCATCCAAAACATCAAAATGCGCAGTTATCTCCACGAGCGGAAGGCGTGACGTATGCCACATGAAGATCATGTCGCATACCTGGGGCCTCCTCACACGACATGTAGGCAACCGACCTGAAGTTGCAAACGCGTGCGCGCCTTTCTCAAAAACACAAGCTAGCCTGTCATTTTACTACAATAGCATGATCCGTTCAAATTTGTTCTATGGACTTGAAACGATGGAGTTGACGCAGTCCTTACTTTCTAGGCTCGAAAATTTCCAACTACGCGGTTGTCGAAAAATCCTGAACATGCACACAACATCACACAACGCTCATCGACCGTGGAAGAACGAACACCGAAGTCTACTGCAGGGCTGTTGCAGCCGCTGCATCCAGATATAACCCCTCTTCCGGTTAGCTTGGTGCATCGAAAGGTGTTTGCATGAAAGAAGGCTTCCACTAACTGGACACGGTTTGAGCACTGACAATCGCGCTCGAAGAGACAGGTAAGTTTTCGTAGGGACGGTGCTGTCCCAAATACGCCTATCTTCCGAAGACCGGGGCGCCCCAGGAGAAATTGGTTGGTGACCTCTTTAGATCTTTGCTGGGAAAAAAGGTCACGAAAGCGCTTACACCAACACCCGGAACAACAATGCCAACGTGCGCAACATGCCAGAAATCGACTGCTTTAGCCTTGCTCTTGCCATTTGTGAGTTGCTCAAAACGTCATGGGGTTGGCAGATGAGCCAACATGACTGGCGACCTAGCGTTCTTGTGCAGAGATTTGTAAGCCATGGATGGCGCCTGCTCCTGGGATTCCATGTGGGTGGGAAACCTCTGCCGGTCTCAGGGCTCAAGTGGGTGCTCACATTCTTGGCCAGATCCCTGGAGCAGTGCCGCCCGACTGGTTGAGGGCGCGGAACATGGTGTCGTGTGGGGAGTGCTCCCTCACCGCACTTGTGCGGCAGATCGTCTTGCTGTCCGACCACAGCCCTTGTCTCTTCCTGGTGCCACTTCAGATGCTGACTTGGAGGCAGTGCTTGGTAGCTTACCTTCCCTGGATGCCTTTTTCTCTACTCCGATTGGCGCCCGTGATTTGGTCAGTTCTGCCCTGCTGCCATCGGCGCAAAAAGGAAATTTTCGGTGCATTGTGCAAGTCTTCCAGCATAACACGGCTGATGCTTGGGCGGACCCGGGCGGGCTGGCTGACGCAGCACCGCGCAAGCGGTGTCGTTTAGTTTGGCTTGAATTTTTTTTGTTTTGCTAGACTTGCTTGGCTGTGCTGCCTGGTGGTGCTGCTTAGCGCCGCCGGTACCACAACATCAGTTCCAACCGCTTGGAGCGCTGGGCCCTTGGAGAACGACGGAGCCTATGGGATGAAGCTGTTGCCCGTAGTGGTCGGCCTCGGCTGGACCGACCCAGAACTGATGAGGAGAAGCAGCAGGCAGCCCGCCTCGTAGCGGAGCAGTTTGCCCGCCGAGGCATGCCGGGCAAGGCTGTGCAGCACCTTGGGCACCACTAGCCGCCCCTACACCGGCCACTGTCGTTGCCATGAGCGCAAAGTTTCCTGCACGGCCTCCACACCAAGCCACTACAGCACGGGCCGCAGCACCACCGGCCAATGAAATTAGCTGTGATGAGGTTGTGAATGCCTTTCGCTCTTTGCCACGCGGTGCCGCACCTGGTCCTAAGGGCATGCGGCCCGACTTCCTCAAGCAGGTTGTTGATGCTGGTGATGAGCAGTATGGAGCCCAGGTTTTGACTGACCAAGGAGTCAAAAATCAAAAGTCACCTCCCAATTTTTTACACGCACCTTGTCTTCCAAATGCTTTGGAAACAATCGAGCATTCAATCTAAATTGGGATTGGATTTTTGTTTTCCCGCTTCATTAATTCAATGGAATTTCCGCTCCACAATTTGTCCGAGCAACTGCGCCCCAACCAGCGAAGCCGCGCAAAACCCTACAAGTGATATACACGAATAGTCCCTTTAGGGCACGGGCAGACGAAAAAAAAGTCCACGACACCATGTTGTATTGCGCCTCCCGGGGATGAGTGGCTGCATAAGCATCTTGGAGTACAAAAAAATCATATTACGTACCTTCGTAATTTTTCACTTTTGGCATGAACTGTTTCTCGCGAGGTGCAAAACCTTGTAGGGGCGCGACCGGGTGTTTCAGGGGCGCGACCGGGTGTTTCAGATGCTGTATGGTGGCACAGGCCACCGCACCACTTCCGCAACAATTTGGGCTACTGGTTTTACATGTCTGCGTCGCTTGGCGCGTTCCTGACCATGATTGTTTCTGATTTCCCCAACAGCGGCCCTGGCCTTGGCCGAGGTTTTTTTGGCACACGTTTGGAATCCACTCGCTTCCATGCCTGTGTCGGCATACAGGACCGGCAATGTGATGTTAGAAAGGTTGGGATTCGTTCTTGCAATGTGATGAGCACAAAAAGTTCCG